AAGTGTCAAGAGGTATTATGAAAAATGCTTAGCCTGTCTAATCAGCAGTCGTAAGAAGTTTAGTATATTTTAAAATTGCAGCCCTAGTCTTCAACACATCTATTAAACTTTAAAAAGATGCTTCTGCCAGTCCAGTAGCTGGACTTGTTAGTAAAATTATTTCAGTTTTTTTTTTTTTAAGAAAAAGTAGATATAACAGACAATTCTTGTGGGGAAAAAACTGTATATACTACACAGTCTTCATTTATTCTGTATTTGTATCCTAATTCTGTTACTCTACTTCTTTTTACTTCCTGCTTAAATGCCTCATTAATAATTTATTGGAGTAAAAAGTATTTCAAAATAAATATGCTTCATAAACTGAAAGAGATCATGTTTGATAGTGGAAACTAAGCTGGACAATGGGGTTGTGTTTTTGGGAAACTGTATGGTCTACAAATTCATTAGTTAATCCTGAAAAATATATTACTATAGAAAGGTTATATTTGCTATAGTCATAATGAAAAGATTATAATGAAAAAAGCCATGCGCAAATGCACATAGTTGTGATTTGTTGATTACCAAGACAAGAAATAATACTGGTATTTACTTTAAAAAATACGCAGACATATCATAAAAACAACAGAGATTCACTGAATAATTTAATAGAAGAGTAAAACCAAACTGATTTTAGATAAAAAATTTAAACTTCACTTAGGTAATATCTCATGTTTTTTTTTTCTTATTTTAAATTTACAGCTCTGATAGTGTATTTCTGTTATCAGAAGCAAAATCTAGCAAAGAGTTTGTGGGAGATACTTTACAACTTGTTCTTGATTTTAAGATTAACATGGGATGTATAACTTTTTTTTTCCTGAATGTAATTTCTCATAATATTTTATCTTATGAATAATTGCAATGCATGAATATCTAGTATAACATTTTTTTTCTCCATGGTGTCCCAAAATCTGCTTTGTAACATTGCCCAACCCTTTGGAGCATGGAGAAATGCTGCAGGGAGCTGGGAAATTTTTCCTTGATGGAAGCAATTCCATAATCAGAACAACTTATTGGGGCCAATTTCAAAAAGCACCAAGACTGTATCTCCAATAAAATTATTAATTGATTACCTTGCAGTTATAATTTTTCTGTATGTTAATTCTGAAGCATTGTTTGGAAAACAAATTAGTGATTTGTAGTTCAGTAAAGCCAGCCTTACCAAAATACTCATTCTTGTGTTGATAATATTCCACTGAGTATTGACCTTTTGTTATAATTAGTGCCTTTCTAGAAGTTACTTTTAGTCTGAATGAATGAAAATAGTGCCCAAATAATTGTATTTTTATACATGTTATTGCTATAGCTAGAAATGGTAAGTATTCTCATGAAATAATTTCCTATTGCTAAAATAATTTCCTATTATTAATTAAAGCTGAGTTTTAGTATTGATACCATGTGAATATTTTAACGAGGTAGAGAAAGCATGTAGAGCTTTTACCACCTTACTAGCAGTGGCTATAGGAGGTTTCAGTATTTTCTTTGTGTAAAAGCCTTACAGAAGTTACTGTTGCATCTGTGTGTGTGTTTGTGTGTGTATTGCTGCTTCCCACTCATGTTGTGGCTATGTGTGTATGTTTGTATGAGTGTACTGGGAAGCACATATGCTCTGTTTTGGGTCATGAGAACAGGAGGGAGAAGGGAAGTGGGCTTAGACTGGAGAAATCAACAGCATTCTGAGTCAGTGCCAATAACTTTTCCCTCGGGAATGCATTTGGAGTATTTTTTTTTATTTTATTTTTTCTCTGCAGGCCCTAGCCTGACTGAACCCATTTTTAAACTTTCTTTTGCTAACTTCTCCCCCTGCACCATCAAAGTGTTTACTTCAAAGACAGACAGTTATCCTGTTGATGGCAGACAGAATCTTAACTCCCTTTAAATAACGACTTTCTATTGGGTTAAAAAGAATAAAAATAGAAATACTGAATAGCAATATCTTAATAAAGAAACAGTTGTCCAAATGTAATTTGTACCCCATTTTGCTATTGCCAGTTGCTGTGATAAGTTTGTATATCATTTTAATGTTTATGCTTTTCCTCTTTTATGTTATGGAATTTCAGATGAGCTATATTTGAAGGGATTGGATTGAAGAAGGGGAAAAAGGCTACAAAGTCAGTTAAGTGCAAGCTCCAAAAGACTTTAGACTTGTGCTTTATGAATGATCAGCCCATATGCAAAGACAAATTACTTATTTATTCAGTTTATATATTCCTTTTCCACTAATGATAGCAGACATGCCTAAATATAAGGAAATCGCAATATCCAATTAAAATATAGAAACAAATCAGTTTAAAGCATATAAATCACAAGTGGGGCCATCTAAAAATATTGTAAATAAAGAAATAAATGGCACCCACCACTTCAAGCTACTTTAGCAAACTGATTAACAGGCATGTTAATTATGCCTGTTAATCATTAACATGCTTTGTTCTTTAACAGAACAGTATCAAAGGTGGGGCTAACCTGGAGCTTCATTAACTGAATGAATTCTAGTGGTGTGTTCCTGCCAAATAGTCTTCTAATGTGTTCTTGTCAGATAGGTTTCCAACTGAGGTAGGATTGGGGGAAAGCCTTCTTGATGATCTTTATGTTCAGACAGACAGATAAGCCTTTCTTTTAAGTAGTCGGTTCCAAATCATGTAGAGTTTTGTAGATCATAAGCAGTACTTTAAACTGATCTGGAAATGAAGCATTATTTAGTGAAACTCAGGAGTTAAATACTTATGCCCATGTCTCTGGTCAGTCATCTGTCTGCAGTATTCTGGAAAAGTGAAAAAACAGCCCCACCTAGAATGCATTATATAGTAGTAGTTCAGGAAGCAGGTAACTAAGGCATTTGTCACTGACATGACAGATTTAGCACTGTAACCTTAGTTGTGCAATCATAGTCTTGTCAGTTACCAAAACCTTGAGCAACACACCCAAACTATGAGCCTAAATCTTTAAGCGGAGTGTAACCCCATCCAAGTATGGTTGAATTCATATTTCTGGTCTGCTTTTTTAGTAAATAGTAGCAACTCTGTGTTAAATTTTAGTCTGTTTGCTCCAGCTAGGTCATTACTCAAATTAGATACTTTTTAGAATTTTAAAAATTCCTTTGATTCAAGGAGACATTACATTGTTCAGTATGGAAAGAAATTTCCCTCTTCAGCTTCATGTACTTATTAAGTACTAAGGGAAACCACAGCTACAGCTTTCTGTGCTCTTTTCCATAGTCATTTGACTCCTAGCAGTTGTTTACTTTACTACAGTAATGCAGTTGCTCTGAAGACAAGACTTTCACGGGGAAATGTATGTACGTTTGTGGGTGGGTGTGAGATACGCATACATACATAGTGCACAAATTCCTAATGCATATGAGCCTGATTTATAAGCTTATAGGCAGCTATAACTAGATAAGAATAATGAAATATGAAAATCATGGCTCATTTAGTTATATTATCTCTGGCAAAACACAATAAAATCTTGCAATGTTTTCTGGACCTTTTTTAATACTTCTAACTGACCTAGCTCACCTATACTAATGCAAAATATGAAAAGAGAGAACTCTGCAGAGGGGACTACAGATCCTCTGTTACCAGTTATCTTTCCACCAAATTGCAGGTTGTTAGAATGGATTTTCAGTACTAAATCAGCATTCACGTGATTGAATACAAAAGTTTCAAAGTTAAAATGTTGTGATATATAGGATTCATGTAATGCTGAGTATATTGTTTCACTCAGGCTAACTGACTGAGAGCTATCTTTATGTGTGGGGAAAAAGCAACTTTTGATTATTAAATGGGTGTATGTAGTGTCCCGCCAAAACTTTTTTTTTTTTTTTTTTACACATTTTATAAATGTTCTGGTGAGGCTTCACAACATGGTCTGCTGTCTCTACATATCCCAACAACTCTTTGGCTATATGAACTGATTCTATATATCTCATGATGCTGCTTTAGAAGGGGAAACTTTGTGTATTAATATTTGTAAATAATTGGTATCACATTTTGTTGTTCAGTTGTCAGTAGTAAAAATCCAGGAAGGACATGCTATCATTTTGTATTTGATGACATATTTTTATTTTTGCTTTTTATTCTTGCTTTGCTGCTTTATATGCTTTAGGTTATGTCTATAACTATGCAGCACTATTCCCAGAATGGCATGACAATCCTTAAACTTTGACACCACTATTCCACCATTTTCTTTTAAAAGCACCACTATCTGATCCTGTAGTTAGATAAGCACAACATCCACCCCAAATTGTAAGCAGTTATTGCTTCTTCCTTTGTTTTCTTACATAAGTGTTATATAATTTTTTTCTGAGAAAGAGATTTTTAATCAGTTGTTTAGGATAAAATTGTACACTATATTTTGTTTTTCATTTCTGTGCAAGCATTTCCAGTTAAATATACTATAATTTTAAAAATGTGAATGTAATCTGCTTTAGCAGCACTGATGCCAGCAGAACATCAATAAAGCGTGAAGATTTCCCATTTATTGCATGCCTCTTTATAAAAGTACAGTTCCTTTTCATTACAGTTTTGTCCTAAAATCTCCTTTATGTGTGTGTGTGTATGTGTGTGTGTGTGCTTGTGTGTGTGTGTTTCGTTGCTCATTCCTCCCACAATCATGTGTATGTAAATTCATCTTTTTTTTTTTTAATTATAATGCCTATTCTTTTAATAAGTTAGCTGTTGATATAAAGATTCAGATGTTCCCATCCAGCCCCCACCTCTTTCAGAATGCTATTTGGGAACCTTTATTTCAGAGCTATATTTTTCTACTCTGAAGTGTCTTCTTTATTTCCTTTCTTCATTACAAACTGCTCTGAAAGAGCTTTTCTAACCAAAAAAAAAAAAAAAGAGCTATGCTTGACTGATAATGCATTGCTTTGGATGGTGAAACATTATGAAAGTTTAATTTTTAATTAAATCTGAAATAGCAATTATTACTGAAAGAGATTTTAACCTGTTTCTTTTCAGAGTGCCTGAAGTTACATTTTAGATGCTGAAATCACTGCACCTTAAAAACAAAAAAGGTTGAGTTGAATTGCATTCCTGTAAGTAAAAGCTTTTCTAATACTTTTTGTCACTTTTTGTTTAACACACGTGTTAGCAGAATATGTGGATTAGGAAGATATATATATATATACACAGACATACACACACACTCACATACATGCATACATACATACACACGCATATACATATACATGCACACACACGGATGCACATATCCATAAACACAGCAATTCATGTTGTACTACATTATTTTTGATAGTACTTACTACAGACCTTGTATTTTTTGTTTGTGCTTTCTGATTCATATTTCATTATGAATGGTATAAAGCTTTGTCTCCATTAGCATACATTTTGTTATCCCGTCACCAACAGTGATGGATATTATAAAGTATCAGAATAGCATTAGAAATAGTGTTCTTTCCCCTGTCAAAGGAGTGTTAAGCTGAAATGAAGATAGAAAAGAGTTTCCTGGGAAGCCACAAGAAGGTTTAGATACATCAAACAACAGAAGATGCATGATTCCTTGTGTATATATTTTGGATATCTGAACTATTGCACACCTTTTGAACAATTAAGAAATTATTTCCAAAATCAAAGATAGGTGGGCATTAAGTTGCAGTATCTACTTTTAGTTTCTTGTTAGAACTTTAAGGTCTACTAACTGAATCCATGTGCAGAACGATGGCTTAAGAGGATTAATATTGAGGAATACATTTTTACTGAGTCTACGTTATTCAATAGTTAGTAACTTTGCAAATACAGTAGGTCAGAGATCGTCTAATAGATCCCAAATCATGCTTTGCGTTCGTTGCTATAAATGCAAATTAGTGTGCTTCTTTTTGCCTTCCTTTGTCCTTATTGGGAAAATTTATTCATCAGGAACTGCGGAACTATCACAGTGTTTCTAGAGCTGTTTCTTTTAACATACAGTACAGGTATTATTGCATAATACCGTATAAGTAGTATTGTGTATTTAATTCGAATCTTTGTGTAACTGTAACTCAGATTTTGCTACAGTAGGCTCTGCTCTTAACTAGGGGTTACCCTTAAACTGAGCATTCTTAACCCAGGGACTACCTGTACTATATTTTTCTCCTTTCTCACTTGACTGATACAGGAGTAGCGGACTTCATTTTACACACTTATGCACCGTGCTATTTGGTTTCATTTCTTTAAAATGCTGGCTTCTTTTCCTTCTTTCTCATTCACCTTTGTGGATGTCAACATTCATTACCCTACTGTGCTTTCATAATTATTCCAATTGCAATGTACAAAATTTCCATTTTTTTCCTCTCTGTCTTTGAATTTAGGTTCTGTATCATTTTCCAGTACATGACTTCAACTTATCCATCGGTTCAAGCAATTCACGACTGTCTCTTATTCTTGTTTCTTTGTCTTAGCACCTTTCTTCTTATCACTTGGCTCCATCTAATCTTGCTTTGTCACATTTCTTGCCTTTATGTTCAGCAGCGGGTTTTCTGATTGGAGAAGGGATAAAATATGATGGTTAATCAATTTTTAACAAGTACTTTTAGTATAGTATCTACCATCTTTCTTCTGAACTAGCAAGAATGCTAAAATTCCATGTCTGATATTAAGAAATAAAAGTCTTCTTTATGTAACAGAATATTCTTTGGAATGATTGGAATAAATATAGAATTGGTTTAAAAATGGGAAGATGACAATACTAAGGTATTAAATTTAACTCTGTTGATCTTCTACCTATTTTCCTTGCTTCATTCATCTCCTCTTCTATTTGAGCTCACAAATCTAGCGTTAGCTAATCTCATACTTATCTTTTCTGGATGTATTCCCAATTTGTTGATTGTTTTGCAACATAGCAATTGATCCTTGGTTTTATAGCAGCAAGCATATCTGAAAATACACTGAAATGCTCATTCCCAGGCTATTCGGCAAGGTTGGTTTTACAGGTATTACGAATTTTTGTAAAAATACATAAAGCTGGTTTTACTGTGTCAGAGTTCATCTAACTAAGGAGTAAGCAAGACAGTTATGGGTTGAATGTGGCTTCCCAGCCCCTCTTTTCTAGTGTCCAGAACAGTTCCAGAATAGGTAGGACAAAAGTTTAGACAGTTTTTATGCTTTTAGCGGTGCATTTGTGGTGCATTTTGCATTTGGTGATGATTAAAGACTATAAGAGAACTTTACTGCAAGGCTCTAGATATTATTCAATTTCCTAACTCTTCCAAGTGAGAAAGAAAAAGTCAGGAAAACATTGCCTCATTCTGGTGACATCATGGTGTGACTAGCTATATTCCCTGAAAGACTCAGAGGAAAAATAAATTATACTTCATAATCCCTGGGCACAAATTGTCAATCTGTGATTTAGCTAAGTAGACAAACTACAGATAACTTTATCTGCAGTTTGTCTTTACTACTTCCTCATACTTTGAAATGTAATGTGGAAAACAGCACTTGATTTTTAGTTGGATGATAGCAATGGACAATTACTGGCAAGTGAATGGTACATCTAATGGATTTTACTTTTCAAATTTAAGAAGTTCAGTAAAATGGAGGAAGTAGTTTCAAATAAAAGATTGTGAAATTCTACATTCCTCCTGATATTTAAAGCCTTGCATGGCATGGAACCGGGTTACCTGAGGGACCATCTTGCCCTCATTATATCCACCCATCCCATCCGGTCAGGCAGGGAGGGTATGCTGAGGATCCCGTCGATGAAATAATGTCGACTGGAGGGGCCCAGAAAGAGAGCCTTCTCTGCCGTGGCCCCCGTCCTATGGAATACTCTTCCCCAGAGGTGACGCAGGCCCCAGCTCTCTTGTCCTTCCGGAAAGCAGTCAAGTCCTGGCTCTGCCAACTGGCATGGGGCGCAAAAAAGGGCACCAACCCTGGGGGTGGCTAGCACCTTAAGACGCTCCCATATGTTAATATCTTACTGATCATCAACATCTTGGAAGA